TCGGGTCCACTAGGAGCCCTGATGGCACACATTCTGTGGCCAGGCCAGTAGACATTCACAGTGCCACCCACTGCCAGCACCGGGAGCCACACCAGAAGTAGCTCTGTACCTGCAGGTGGGATGGCCTCTTCCTCTGGGTGGCTGCCCCAGCTGAGAGCACCCTGAAAAACGGAGTTTTTATTGAAATGAGATCAAGCATTGGCACATAGTAGGTCTCCCAACAATGACGAACGTACAAAGACACAGTAGTCTTGGAAACTGCACACTGGGAATTTCCTCCTGAGAATTTCCCGTCTGGGCTGATACAGTGCTAGATATTGGTTTCCTTCCCTGCTCCTTCCTCGGTCACCACCGTCATCATCTTCATTAGCAGCAACAGCAGCTGCCGGTTGTATGGCAATTTCCAGAAAATTCTATGACTTGGTATCCCGTAAATCCACCAATAATCCTGTGAGGTCTGTATAATAATTCCTATTCCACAGACGAACTCAGGCCTAGAGAGGGTGTGTGACTTGCTCAAGGACACAGAGATCTGAGACCTGAGGGCGCTGCTTCTGACCTTCCTTAAAGGAACTGATTTAACAGGTACTCAGTACCCACCGTGTGGCAGGCACTTCAATTAGCAGCATGGCTCCTGCCCCCTCACAGATGAGCAGAGAGGACAGGCATGCCAGGCAAAACAGCACTTATAACTCTGCATGACCAGTGTGCCCGTGAAAACCCCAGACAAGATGACAATTTCTCTTGTTGGGGGCAATCGGTTGGAGAGCAGCTCCGGTCCACTTTTTTTTTTTTTTTTAATCTCTGTGGCTTTGGGCAAGTCCCTTCACTTCTCTGGGCCTTCATTTCTTCGTCTGTAAAATGGAGAGCATGATGAGTGTCTCATACAGGAGAGTATGACTCTCTCACACAGTCAGTGCAGGGATAACCGAGATAACGTATACGTGTGGCACAGCGTCTGATGCAAGCAAGAACTCAGTGGATTATAGCTGGTTCTTCATTATTGCAACCTTGATGTCAGCGAGGGGCCGCCTGGCCCCTTGAGATCATCACAAGATGAGCTCAAGCACCCACTGCAAAACCCTTTCCAAGATTACTGCAAATTCCTGGGAGATCTGATTTCTTCTGATCCAGCTCCTGCTTCAGCCAGAACTGTCTTTGGTCAAAACTGTACCAAAATAGATGTAAAACTTGGCCCTTTCCACTATTTCCACAACACCCCAATCTAGGCAGCCTCAGTGAGTATAGGAGGCTTTTTTGAAGGTTTCCAGGGATGGGAGACAGAGAAGAGGATCACATCAGTTAAAAAAAAAACCCTCAGGGTGAACTAAAAATACCTTGGTTCCCAAGATGGCCTCAGCCTTCTCTTCTGCTTCCTTTCCGTTGTCCCCAGCCCCTCAGCCTTGGGACAGCTGCCATAGTTTGGCTATTGTGTCCAATTCCCTCTTCCTAAGAAGCTCTCCAATTTCCATTCCAGGCATTATCCCATTGTGTGAAGAAGAGGTTCGGAGAGTTGGCTCTCCCTCCTACCTCCTGCATCCTCAGCCACCCACGCCACCCCTACACACCTTCTCTTTGCCCCCACGGGATGAGAAAAAATGTTTGCCATCATTCCTGGTAGTTGATGCTGGTGGGTGGGTGACCCTGGCTACTGCTGGCTGCTGCCCTGCCTTCCCCATTTTCAAAACCCAGTCCTCCAGTTTCTGGTAGATTCTCTGGAGTGCTCCGTAGCTTCAAACATCCAATGTCCTTTTAGGAAAAAATTCAAATCCTAGTCCACTTTCTTGTGGCCTTCACAGCAGCTGCGTCTCAGAGCTTCAAGGGCAAACCTTCACCTTCAACGTTTTTCAAAGTATTTTCCCAACCAAAGCTATACTCTTCTCTAGGACAGAAGGTCACATGCTGAGGATCTATGAGCTGCAGCTGGTCCACAGGGATGTTCTTAAGAAACTGAATCAGCATTTAAAATTTCAGAGATTACACATGAAAATCTGGATGTGTGGCTTTTCTTGTAAACGCATAATATCCGTCATTACAGGGCCCACATTCCTCCCAGGCAGCCTGTTGGCCTAAATGGAGAGCAGAGTCTCTGCCCTTTAGACAGGTTTTTCTTGTGAGGTTGCCCAATGGCCTTACTTCTCCTGCTTGATCCGTGCAGGCTTTCAACTCTGTGACCTTTGCCAAAGGGCATTTCGGCGCCGGTTTCCACCCTTCACCGCGTTATTACAATCAAGTTGGGTCTTTGAATTTGCCAGGTTCGCAAAGGGCACCCTCGGCGGAAGATACAGCAACAGTAGTCACTTAAGTATGCAATCGGTGACTGTTCCTGGAAGGACAAGGCGTCCGGAGGGACTGGGTCTCTGGTGCAAGGGGGCGAGGGGACTGTAAAGGGTTAAACTGGGGCCTGGTTCTGAAGAGCCTTAATGCTGTCTCACGGGGCCCTGAGAGCCAGTTTGGGGTTGAGAGCAGGGACACAGCGTGGGGTGTGCATCTGAGAAAATGGGGCTGGGAAGCTCGCGGGCTGGATGGACTGAAACCCTCCCATCCCCCCGAATGGCCCCCCAGGAAGCCCAGCGAGAGGCTGAAGCCGTGGTCTAGGCGGCTTCGGGACGCTGCGGTCAGGTGGGAATGGCTGGGAGGAGGGCAAGGGAGGGACTCCGGAGACAGCCTTGCGCGGGAATCGGTACGCTTGACCTTGACGGAAAACACTGCAGGCGCCGCGGCTGCCAACGCGCCAGTCTATCCCCCCCCGCCCCCGCCCCCTGCGCCGCAGCGGACTGCGGCGGAATCCCGGCCCCTCGCCTCGGCGCCCTCCCGCGCCACTGCGGCACGCGAGGGGCGGGGGCGGCGGGGTGGCGGGGATGCCCGTCTTCCCTGGAAGGCCCGAGAAGGGGGTGGGGAAGGAGGCCGGTCACGTGGCGCCGCCACCAGGCGCTGCCGGATTGGCCGCCCCGCAGCCGAGTCTGCCCGGCCGCTCGGGTTTCCAGGCACGCAGCAGCCCCTCCCGCGTGTCCGGGCGCGCAGGGGATGTGCTGGCCCAGCGCAGAGCCGGGTAGGGCGGGGGGCGAGCTCTCTCTATCCTGTCAACCGCTGCCAGGTGCCTGGCTTCTCGCCGAGATCCTCACTGCAGCTTGGGAGGTCTGATGATGGTCTCGGTGAACACATCCCGTCGCTGCTTCTCTCCCATCCCGTCTTCTCTCTTCTCTCTCATCTGCCCCTTTGCCTACCGTGCTGCCTGGAGGCCAGCTTCGTGAGGACTGGCTGAATGGGGTTTGTGTTACTTGCCACAGTGTTGCAGCTTTGGGCGAGTCAGTTAACCTGGCTGGAGGTGGGGAAGAGCCAAACAGAAATCCCACAGATACCTCAAGCCCCGCACATCCAAAGTGACCACAGCCCCTCCCGAACTGCTCCTACTTTGTTTCCGCATCCGTTTTAAGCAAAAACCCGATAGCCATGTCCATCTTGCTATCCTGAATCAAATCTATGACCAGAACCTATTCAATTTACCTCCAAAGTATTTCTTAAACCTCAGTACCCAGTACTTGCCCTTAGGATGTATCCCAGTTTACACTATATGTTTATTTGTGTGATTGTTTTTGAACAATAAGCTCCATGAGAACAAGGACCTTGTCATTTTGCTCATCACTGTATCACCAACACAGTACCAGCACATAGGAGGTGCTTAATAAATTTTTATTAAATGAATAGATGCATGGCAAGTCTTCTGCTAGGTACTAGCTGTGGAAAGGACAGCGGAATTTAAGGTTAAGACACAGAGTTCTTTCCTCAAGAAGTCATCTATGTAACATACGTGGCCTGAAGCCTTCTCTGTACTAGGCCAGCGCAAAAGATGTAATAAGACACCATTTCTACCTTCCCCCTTCACCTCGGGGGACCACACATGATCAACCTAAACAACAATAAGACTCTGGTATTGGAGGGGTCAGGTGTGGTGGTAATATAATGACTTCTAGAATCAGAAGAGTCCAGGGTTTGGAAGCTAATGATCTGGCTTCCCTGGCCACCTTTGTCTCCTTCTGGCTATGTGACCACAAGTCTCCTCTCTCTCTGAGGCTCCATCCTTTCATCTTAAAAATGGGGTATGACAATACTATCTAAAAAACATGAACAAGACAAATGAAAACACTAAGTGCCAGGTTTTACAACAATGTTGGGTGTAGGTAGGTGACTATACTTCCTACTTTGCCTAAAAGAGACCAGTTGATACCTGTTGAACCAGGGCAATTAATTAATAATAGCATTCCTGGGGGCACGTGGGTGGCTCGGTTGAGCTGACTTAGCTCAGTTCATGATCTCATCATTCGTGAGTTCGAGCCGCACATCAGGCTCTATGCTGACAGCTCAGAGCCTGGAGGCCTCAGATTCTGTGTTTCCCTCTCTGCCGCTCCCCTACTCATGCTCTCTCTCTGTCTCTCAGAAATAAATAAACATTTTTAAAAAATAGCATTGCTGGGGCTCCTGGGAGGCTCAGTCGGTTAAGCATCTGATTTCGGCTCAGGTCATGATCTCGTGGTTTGTGAGTTCAAGCCCTGCGTCAGGCTCTCTGCTGTCAGCACAGAGCCAGATTCCGATCCTCTGCTCCTCTTTCTCTCTGCTCCTCCCTGCCCCTGCTTGCATGCACTCTCTCTGTCTCAAAAATGAATAAACATTAAATTTTAAAAAATAGTGTTCCCATTCATTCTCAAAAGTGTCCTGGGTTTAGACAGTAAATTATGTGGTCATCCTAGTAATAGGTGTGACACTAGCGTTATCTACATTGTGCCCTGGGGACACAAAGGTGGGAGGGTGGTGGGGCTGACTGTAGAAAAGGGGGCTGTGACCCCCATGTGACCCATGGAAATGAGCCTGGCAGTATGCATGTTATTACACCAAGTAAAGAGAGATAGGAAGGGCATAAGAGGCAGAGGGACTAGCATCTGCAAAGGAAACACAACTTGGTAATTCTGGGCATGTTTAGATAACATCAAGAAGGCTGAGTGGTGCTCACTTTGGCAGCACATATACTAAAATTGGAATGGCACAGAGAAGATCAGCGTGGCCTCTTGCACAAGGACGACATACAAAATTCATGAAGCCTCCCATATTTTTAAGGGGTGCCTGGCTGGCTCAGTCAGTAAAGCATGTGACTCTTGGTCTCTGGGTTGCGAGTTTCAGTCCCACGTTGGGTGTAGAGATTACTTAGGAAATGTTTTAAAAAGGCCAAAAGTTCAATTCTAAGAGGCATGGAAGGAGATGAGGCTGGCGGTGGGAACTATAGAGGGACTGACATGAGTGGTAGCTTCACACAAGAGTCCAATTGAGGAGCTGAGGCCAAAGCCCAGGCAACAGACATAACGAGGCCTGAAGCCAAGTGAGGTTCTATAAACACTTTAGAGGTAAACTGGACTTGGATGTAGGGGGTTGGAGGACAGATCAGGGGCAGGAGAACTTCTGGGGGAATGGAGAGGCCATTCACTGAAGCAGGTGGGAAAGAAGGGCCAGGAAACTCAGGAGACAGAAGGTGACCCAGATCGGACTGTCAAAAGTAGGGGTCATAAGAGGTAGAGGTCAGTTCTGAGGCCAGAGGAAGGAGCTGGAGCCCAGTCAGTATTCAGGTGACATCTGATTAAAATTACCTTTCAGAGCAACCTTTAAAGGCAAGAGAAGGCTCAAAATAGAGCCTCAAGTAAAGAAAGAGCTGATTTTGTAGACCAACTTCATTGTACATATCACTCTTCTTGATCAAAATGGCCCCATAGTGCCTACTGCCTAACGGAATAAAAGCTGAGGTTCTCAGCCTGGTGTTCGAGGCTTCTGGTGACCTGGCCCCAACCTATCTCTGGTGAATGTTTCACATTTCACCTGGTCACTTTTGGCCCCTCCCTCCTTCTGAAAATAAGAATGGCTCCTCTCCTGGCCCAACATATGGTCCAGGTGGGGACTATCAATTATGGCATCCCATCCCCTATGATCAAGCGTGTGAGTGAGCACGTGACCAACCCTGGTCAGTCAGAATCCTCCTGTGGGATTCTGGGGATTTGGAACAAAGGAAAGAGAATTTCTCATCTCTCTGGTAAGGAAGCTAGAAGGCATGAGCTGGGGATTGCTGTTGGGCACAGTTCCAGCCTGGAGAGGAAAGTCATCTGAAAACCCACAGTAGGGAGTTGAGAGGGTTATTGTTTAATAAGTACAGGGTTTCAGAATGAGAGAGAAAAAAGTGCTGAAGATGCGTGGTAACGAAAGTGGCACAAACAATGTGAATATACTTAATGTCACTAAACAGCACACTTAAAATTGGTTTTAAAAAAATGTGAGGAGTCTGGGTGGCTTAGTCCATTAAGTGTCTGACTTCGGCTCAGGTCATGATCTCACAGTTTGAGAGTATGAGCCCCTCATCGGGCTCTGTGCTGTCATCCTGGAGCCCCCTTTGGATCCTCTGTCTCCCTTTCTCTCTCACCCTCCCCTGTGCTCGCTCTCTCTCAAAAATAAACATTCAAAAATTGGAAAAATGGTAGATTTTATGCAATGTATACTTTACCACAATTAAAAGGAGGAGGAAGTGGAAGAGAAGGAAGAGGAGCTGCCAGGCAGAGAAGCAAAGATGAATGAGGGAGGAGTGCAGATGGCTCCCTGGATGTGGTTGTCCTTGGGACCCGTTGCTATGACCCTTGGGATCCGACAAGGATCGCCCGAGTCGACTTCCTCTTTTAGTATCGGCTAGTTCATGCTGGGTTTCTCTTCCTTGCGTCCAATGGAGTCACAACACAGAGTCTTTCCATTTCTCTCCTGTCTCTTGCATCCTTTCAGACATTCTCCACTCCTGTCACACCTGCTTCCACGCTTCCTCCGACTGATCCTGTGCCCGTATTCCTATGCCTTTCCTCCAGACTCCCTCTGCCCTTTCCCCTACTGACAAGTGTCAACTCCTACTCATCCTTTGAGACCCAGCTCACAGGGCTCTTTCTCAGAAAGCCACCCCTGGCCACCCTGAGCCAGGCTTGTCATGACCTCCTCTGGCTTGTCCATGTCTTTGTCACCTAGTATCCCAATGACCTGCTTTCTTGTCTGCACAACCCTCATTAGGCTCTGTTTTTCATCTCCGTGACCCTAGTGTCCCATAAACAACCTAGGGCAATGTTTACTTGATGAGTGAAAAGTGAGTAAGAATCCTTCTTTCTCTCATGCCACCCCCCTGAGTCACTACTCAGTCTCTACCAAGTGGAGACAGAGGAAAAAAAAAAAAAAAAAAAAAGTGGGAGGAATTGCTTTAGTCCCTCGATTCAAGGGCGATGGATCCAGGAGGGAAGAAAACCAGTAGGAAAGGAATGGGGCCATTGCAAAATTCAGTGGCGTTTGTCAGAGGTCAGCTTTCTGCCAAAGCACTGATGGTGGCAGCTTTGAGCTGAGGCAGAGTTTGTTTGGACACCAGCACCAAGACAAGCAAAGCTTCAGTGTGTTGAGCTTTTCAGCAAGTTTGGATGCTGACAGCTCTGCGGGGAGAAACACCTAAAAGCCATCTGGGTCTGCCTGGAATCAGGGATCCCCACCTCCTTCGCCACAATCTGACCCAGGGAACAAGTCAGACCTCTTCCCTACCCTTCATCCCCACCACAGACACACACCTTCTTGAAGGGGACCCTGCAACTGATCGGGACATTTGGCACTGAGGACAGAGTAAAAAAACAACTATAGGGAGCTGTGGTTTTGTTAATATTGCTTACTAAATAGTCCATAGCTTCCCCCTACAATTCCCAGCCTCCCTTGCAGTTAGATTTGGCTTGCGTGACCAATTCTGGTTAATAGTCTGAGTGGATGTAATGAGTGCCATTACCAGACTGAAGTATTTCATTGCCAGTACATAACCTTCCAGCAACCTTTCCCTTATTGAGGCAATCCTGAAAGCCTTGTGTTGACGTGGTAGAGCCCAGGATGGAAGTGGCCTGGATCTCTGAGTTACCCAGTGGAGTGGAGGATCTCTATCTCGGAGAGTGCCTTGACTCATATCAGGCTTTGCATGAGTGAGAAAAATAGACCTTTTTTGGGTTAAACCATTGAGCTTTTTGGGTTGTTTGTTACCATAGCAGAGCCTAGCCTATTCTGACCAATATAAAGAAATTAATCGTTGTTTTAGCCATCCAGTAGCAAACCTCCTTACCTGAGGGGAAACATTCCCCCTGCTTACAGTATTGGTCACTTCTCTCTTCTTTCCTGACTTCTCAGCAGCATTTGTCACAATTAACTACCCCCCCCCACCAAAACATTTTATCTTGGTGTCTATGACATCACACTTGCCTGGTTTTTCTCTTCTCACAGCCCCTGCTTCTCACTTTCCTTTGTTGGCTCCTCTTCCACTGTTTTAGCCTCAAAACTTTGAAGTTTCTCAGGGTTTATTCTTGGGGACCTTTCTCATGGTTTTAAACGCCACCCATGAGAATGGCAGCTGGTACCTTCCAGTATTCACCCTGCCATTCTCTATTAATCACAGAGCCCCTATTTTAGCTGGGCACACTGTGCCTAGTTAAAAGACTACATTTCTCAGCGCAACCATGGGCATATATTTTGGCCACTGAGATATCAGCAAAAATGTGTGAGACTTCCTGCGCAATCTCTTAAAATGAAAAGGGTGCATTTTCCCACCCTTTCTCCCGCATATTTCCAAGGTGTAACACAATGAAGTAAACTTAAGATTGGAAACCAAGTGCTGAGTGTAGCAGAGCAGCTCTGAACTGCCTACCTTTGGACTTCTTTTCCTATGAAGAAAGAAATAAATTTCTATTGTAAGTCATTGTTTTTTCTTTTGTTATTTGCAACTAACCTAACCCTAACTGGTCATTCCCCATGCTGTTGTAGCTGCATGCTGGAGTCTCTCCAGGAAGCCTGTGCATGGCAGACAAAAGACACATCCAGGGGGAAAGAAATGCTGGGCCTCCTTCTATAAATTGTAAGTAACCAAGCTACCAGGAGGATAGGATGGGAGGTGGGCCTAGGGCCTAGGAATACAGTTTATTAGCTCACAGAGAGCACTGAATGCTGGATTAAGGAATTCGGGCTCTATTCTGAAAATCCCTAGGGGATAGAAGACCCTGTCTGTCTTATCTAGTAATGCCTCCACTTTGTAGATGCTTGATGAATGGCCATATTCTTTATTAATTAATGCTGTTAACTTAACAAAACAAGTGTTGCAAGGTGGACCAGTTGGGAATCACCACCGGACCTATCCCTGTCTGAGTTTCACAGATGAAGTAACCTAAGTATCATTTGCTGGAACTGGCAGTCGGCCTATCCGCGAGGAAAGGCACACCAAAAACTCCACCTCGAGGATGAAGGCGGTATAGGGCATGGAATTGGGGAAAGGTCCAATAAAACCAGTTGGATTAGTGCCTCCTCAAGATGGCTGCCCCGAGCCCCATGACCGGGAGGAGGCGGAGCTCCGCCCCAGCACGCCCGGCCCCACCCCACTCGGCCCCGCCCAGCGCCCCCCTCCGGGGGGGCGGTGCGGGATGTGAGGTGTCTCAGCGAAGCGCCTGCGCAGTGGGCAGCGGCGCGCGGGGCGGAGGCTTTATAACCACTTCGACGCGGCCGCCGGGCTTCTATCTCGGGGAGGGCGGCTGGGGTGGCGGCGGTCGCCGCGCGGGTTGAGGGGGCGCTGAGGCGGGAGCTGTGGTGGCGCTGGGCGCCCCTCGCTCCACGGCCTCTGGGGGTCATGGGCTCCGAGAAGGACTCCGAGTCGCCGCGCTCCACATCTCTACACGCGGCCGCGCCCGACCCCAAGTGCCGCAGCGGCGGCCGGCGCCGGCGCCTCACCTTCCACAGTGTCTTCTCCGCCTCGGCCCGAGGCCGCCGCGCCCGGGCCAAGCCGCAGGCCGAGCCGCCGCCCCCGGCCGCGCCGCCGCCGCCGCCTGCCCCGGTCCCGGTTCCGGCCGCGGCCCAGGCCCCGCCGCCCGAGGCGCTGCCCGCCGAGCCGGACGCCGAGGCGGAGGCAGAGGAGGCGGCGGCCGCCGGGCCCGGGTTCGACGATGAGGAGGCGGCGGAGGGCGGCGGCCCTGGCCCGGAGGAGGTGGAGTGCCCTCTCTGCCTGGTGCGGCTGCCGCCCGAGCGGGCCCCGCGCC